GAGATAAGCAAATAAAGAAAGAATTCAGAGTGAAAAGTGACAGAAGTCGTCTATTTTCTTTCAAAATGACACATTCGAACGACGGAGTCAGTCAATCTGTGATGAAAGATAAATTACTTTTAAGCGAATCAAAAAATGTAACTGTTGATAGTGTTCTCAAACAATGTGGAGATTTCGGTCGATTTCAATGGTTCCATTATTTCTTTCTCAATTTATTACAAATATCTGCTGGTGCTGTTGCTTTTTATTATGTTTATGGTGCAGCAGAACCCGAACATCGTTGTCGTTTGCCATCATCTATTTGGCAGAATGACAATCAATATAATCCAGTCAATTCAACATTAAAATCTCTTATTGATAAATATATTCCAATCAGTAATGGAAAATGGGATAAATGTCATATATGGGATTCTAATCGAAGATTAGTTGATTGTCCAAATGGATGGGTATTTGATCGACATATTTATGGTTTTACATTTACAGAAGAAGCTTATTTAGTTTGTCATACAAAAGGAAAAAAAAGTTGGATTTCAACAGTGATGCACATAGCTGGATTTACTCTTTTAATTGTTGGACCATTAGCCGATAGATTTGGACGAAAAACTATGATTATTTTTCTTACTTTAACACTTTTCCTCATTTGTCTTTTGCTACAAAGCCTTATGCAATGGGTTCCAATGTCAATTCATGTCAAGTAAGATACATTCAATCAAAAAACATGTTTTCATTCATAAAAATATTTTGTCCTTTTAGATTTAGTCTTTTGGTACTAAATCAATTTATATTAGGTTTAACTGCACCCATAGGTAGTCTTGTTTTTGTATTAATGCTTGAATTAACAAGCTATTCCTATCGTAGTCTTGTTGGTACTATAGCTGTAACTTGTTTTGCATTTGGTGAAGCATTAGCAACGTTATTTGCTTATATAACAAAAAATTGGCAAAATAATTTATGGTCAATAACAATCTTTATTGGTTTATCATCAATTTATCTGTATTTTATCAATGAGTCTCCAATGTATTTACATTCGAAAAAGAAATATATTCAATTAGAAAATGTTTTACGTCAAATAAGTAAAAGAAATGGTAAAAAAGAAGATGATTGGAATTCGAGTTTAAAAGAATTATTGAATCAAGAACAAATTAATCACGTAAAAATACCATTCAAAGAAAAAATTCTAAAATTAATAACGAACAGAATATTGATACAACGTTTCATAATTACAAGTATAATTGCATTTACAGGAATGTTGTTATTTATTAAGATTTCTTATGGACTTGCTGTGATGAATATTTCTCCATATATAGCTATGACTATTGGATCGATTGTGGAAATATGTGGATATATTTCTGCAAATATAGTTATGTCTGGACGACTTGGTCGAAAATATTCTTTTATGATGTTTACTGGTTTGACAAGTCTATGTGTTTTTCTTATTCCATTATTAACTAAACGAAGTACAATAGGAACAGTTATTATATCTCAATTTGGTAAATTCTCTATATCAGCATCAATGGCAATAACATGGATTTATATATCAGAATTATTTCCAACATCGATTCGAAGTAGTGCCAATGGTTTTGCAGTTGCTGTCAGTAGGATAGGAGCTATTTTAGCACCTGTTATTGATGCTAATATTGACGAACATTATTTATCAATCACATTTTATATTTATGCTGCTTTGGCTCTATTGGTAGTTTTATTAACTTGCCTACTACCTGAAACAAAAAATGTACCTTTGACTGATAGAATTGATTCTAGAAATAATCAAGAATCAATACCACCGCCTTCAACACAGATTCAATAACCAAAAATAAAATGCAGTTTTATGTTGATCTTTGAAAATTCATTGTTTGGGCATGAAATAAAAATGAACTTATTAAAATATTGTCTTATTTTAGTATTGTCAGAATTGAATCATGTACCTTCTGATATGATTGAAAAGGAGACATCGAATGAGCTGAGTTTCATGGTTTTCCATGAACAAATATCGAGATAACAGTTGATAAAGATCATAGATATCGATGAGTTCTCGATCAATCCATTTGCATTTAGATATGATATGATTGATCTTTTACTTCACAGATTACAAATAAAACTTTGTTTTATCGAATAGATTCAGTGATTCTTTTCTTTAATATTTGATGAGCTTCCTCGCTTTGAAATGCCATAATATTTCCGTCATCTGGCGCTCGTTTTCACTCGGGTATGGGTGTAAGTGTCTACTTTCCACCCACACTCACACATTCCAACAGTTAGCATTATGGCTATTAACTGAGAAAAGTGATCATCTATGAATTAAAAGATTATCATGAACTATGGAAATGAGTATAATTGGATAAAAAAAGATTCGAAAATTTAGGAACATTGGAAAACTAATTAAATGATCATCAGTATCAAAGAATATTAAAATTTAATCATTAATAAAAGAAACTCATTCATGTTACCATGTACTTAGAATTCTGTTAGGATAGATTGATCTGAAATCATTGAGAGATAGAAGCTGAAAGATGCAACAACAGGCTATAGATATAAGAGTCATACTTAGTATAGAAACTTTAAATAATGCATATAATTCAATAAAAATCTATACATATCTGATAGTTAACGAAAGAAAAAAATACTATATATGAAAGCACTGTGATTTTAAGCAATATTTAGCAAAAATTTGTTGTGATTGAATATGAACTGGAAACCGTTATTAATTCTCTAAGTTTATATCAACATTCATTTTTTGTTTTGATTTTCTATGCAAATTTTTCTATATACGTCAAAAACAAAAATCGCACCCAATTTGATTAGATTGTGCCAAATATCAGATGAGCAAAGTAAGAAGAACTGAGCTGATCCTTCTTGTATAATATTATGAATACATAAAATACCACAACTCCTCTTTCAGTCAACATACATGTGATGAAGTTTCGAGTTGCAAGGGTGACTCATGACACACTCTTAATTGCACAACATAGAAAGAGACATGAATCAGAAAGTGAAAGAAAAACATTTTTTTTTGCTTTATTACGCAAGAATACATTGCTTTCTGAAGTGTTACTTTTGCGTTTTTGAATAGACAGAGAAGGAAACAACAACCACTAGTGTGATGTTATCTTGCATGTGCAGTTAATAGAGGTAATCCTATCATTCGCCGACAAGAAGTTGTGAAGTATTGCCAACGTTAGACAGCACTATCCTACTTCTTTAAACTGATCAAGCAGATACAACCGAAAAAAACAAGAATGTGGGTTTAGATACAGATATGGTAGCAGATGCAAGTGTGTATGCGTATAGGCGTAGGTGTGGACATGAGTGCAGGGTAAAGATATGAGAGTCCAGAGCAAGTTCTAAACTGACGATCTGATGCGAAAAACGAGCTGATCTAAACTGTTCTAACGACTCAGCTCGCATTGTGACCTGGTTAGACGAAGCTCAGTAGCGGAATGGAGGTGTTCGGAGCTCTTTGTTGTTCTCTCTTGAGATGGAAATGTCAGCAGCTCAGTCAACTATGCTAGAAGCATTAGTTGGGATACTAAAAGGCCACGGATGATGCTAGAGTCCTTCTTCCAGACACTATGAATGATCTAATATGTCCGAGATCACCTGGGATACTATAGGCATTATCTAGGATGTTGACAGCGTCAACTGGGTTGCTAGCAGCATAACTACAGATCCTTTATCATTAAAGGTGATGCTGATTTTATCCTTTCTGATCCAATATGATTTTAGGCAGTCCTTAGCACCCCAAGTAATTCTTTAATCGTCCCAGGTGGTTTTGTAGAATTCATAGGTGGAGCTTCCAGCATTCTAGGTTATACTTTTTGCATTAAAGATGGAGCTGAGAACACTACAGTGCCAAGATGAAACAGTAAAGGTCTGATGACACCCTAAGTTCCATTATTAAATTTTCTGCGAACTGCTCGTGGGGTTAGCAGAGTCGTTAGAAAGTTCAGTTCAGTTCTTACGAACTGTTTGTGCAGTAATTTTGATCTAAACAGAGCTTTTGGAATAGCACAGGAGCTTATTCGAGTTAAGTTTATGAGCTGGAACTATTGTAGATCTATTGTAGTAGCAGTTGAATGTGCAACGACAGATGCAGATATATGGATGAAGATCCTCGGTGAAACTGTAAATTTGATTATCATTTTGTTAATGAAACATTCTTCATCGGTGACGTGCACCCAAATTCATGCGAGGAAAACTTGCTTTTTTAGGTAAAGTAAAATCGTTTTCTAAGTTGATACATTGTAAGAACAAAGTAATTCGCAAGGGAGAGAAGAAATACATTGTCGACGAAGCATGTCGGTAGAAACAATCGAATGCAATAGGTAAGATCGGTCAGAGCAAGAATATGTTTGAACATGACAAAGATCACTTTTGTTTACTAAGTTGACAAGTGATGAGACACAAGTCGACATGTGGAGTTACATTAATCACAACAAAATGCAAAAACTGCAATGCGTTATTGTCGTTGTGTCGATTAATCAAAGCTTGTGAGTTGACGAATTTGAATAATAAAAAAATAAATTCGAATTTCCAATTTTACTTTTGAGTTATCTTTCTCTTATAAATGCCTTTCGTCATTCAATATATATCCTTATCTGATATATAATTCTAATTTGCAAAAGCAGTACTTGTACTTCGTATAATTAAACGAACACTTGGTGCATTTATGGAAATCTACTTAAGTAGCAATATCGCTAGATATAAAATTGTTGTATACTACAAAATCTATCCTTTTTTTGACATTTTCGAGCGTTTTTTCTAAGTATTTTGAATTGACAAGATAAAATAGATTAATAACCTCTTTTGAGTGAGTTGCTCAGACTTTTCGACTTATCATCCAATGATTAGAATTGTCTATATATTTTCTTGTAAATAATTTTAATTATTGAAAGTCTCTTTCTGATAACTTTCTTGAAATAAAGAAATGTTCCGATCAAGTTTCTTTCAACTTCATATATCTAATTTTTTATGTTATCAAACTGCCATTATGTCCTCAATGATGATAGTTCACTATATTTCTGGATTTTCAGTTTATTCGATGTGACTCTGTATGCATTTCATATCCTATACTTGTGTGCAAACATTGTTAAATTCAGTAGATAAAAGTCATCTTTTTTCTATGATACTTTCGCAATAAGGAAAATATTTCAGTGTAAAAACTTGAATGGTCTGTAATCATCAACAGTCGAAAACTAAGTATTCGACTGTATATGATGGTAAACGTCATTGTATTCAGTTGTTGATAACCCGGGAAACAGGAATTTTGCAGTGCTGACTTTGGCAGTTGACTTTGGGCAATTGTCGAAAGTTGTGTTTTCATTTGACTTTCGTCGTAAACGGGACTGACTTTCGCCAATTGCCGAAAGTTGTATTTTTTTTTTGACGTTCGCACTAAATGGGATGGACTTTCGACAATTGCCAATAGTCTGGATTAGGTCTGAAACGCATCAGTAAATCACCTTTACCACACCGTACTTTCAGCAATTAGTGACTAACTGTTTGTTATAAAACCATAGCAATTAGTAAAGTAACGGATTCGAATGTGAACACCAATAATTGTAAGTTCAAAAAGTCGAGAAAATCTTAAGCTCACACTTTCGACAGCGTCAAATTACATGCTGTCAAAACTTTAGTAAATAACGAGTAAATTATCGAAAGTACAATAATGTTCCATTTAATTAAATGATAACGTTAAGTGTCTATTAGAGTACTTTTGGTAATTGCCGAAGTTGTTTTTGCGAAATTCCGTTGCCAAAAAAACTGGACTTTCGACAATTGCCGAAAGTTCAATTGATTTGAGATCAAAATTCCAATACAAACATAACTTTCGGCAATTGTCGAAAGTCAACTGCCAAAGTCAGTACTGCAAAATTCATGCTATCCGATAACCCTCCGAAACATTGTTGAGAAAAAGGATATTCATTTCAAGCTGTGATTTTTCTCATCCTTTACATATTATTTCAGATATGATAAATCAAGATCAAAAAGTGATCAAAACGAAGTTGATCACTAGGGTGTGGGTGGTGTGGGTGTGAGTGTCGATAAAGAGGACACCCACACCCACACCTCACACCCCACACCCACGCACCCACACAATTATACTATTCGATAGAGCTCATCAACTTGTACTTGGAACTCAATTGGAACACTTGGAACATGTTCCTGGACGAATCGGCGGTATTATTACTTGCCGGTTTGGCATTTTAGACCAGTGTTCAGGTATTTCTGGAAACTCAGTTTGAGCTATGGAAAGTCTGAATACACCATTCGATAGAGCTCATCGAGTTGTACTTGGAACACAAATGGAACACTTGGAACATGTTTCTGAGCGAATCGACGGCAGAATTACTCGAATCGGACGCTAACTTCACCTACGTTGTAAAACCGCCATTACCAATATATCTTTCGCCCATAGAATCAATCTCCATTTCGTCTTCATTCGAATATTTATCTGAGATCTGAACTTCATCCAGATCATCTGCTAACTCATCACAGTCGAGATCGAAATCACTCTCATCGCTGTCTTCATTGGTAAGTGAATCACGTGAGTCGTCATCAACTTCAACATTTTCGAAGGTTTCCATCAGTCAAGTTTCAATTATAAATAGAATAGGCAAATAAAATATGGAAGTAATTTAATTTTTTTTCAAAGAACAACTATATATATATAAGCGCAATAGAGAGCGTGAGTCATATAGAACATTCTCGTAAAACAACATATCAGATGATGAGAGGAAAACTATGACGTCATTGTACAATCATAGAAAGGCAAACAAATGTCTGAGAAGAATACATACAACATCAAGA